AAATTATTCTAGACTCGCAGGCAAAGTAGAATAATGTAGTCGTGAAATAGCACTATTTTCCCGTTTTTCCGTTGTACACTCTAGGTATTATCCGCTCTTGATTTCATCTGGCGTCCAAAACATACGGGCCGCACAAATGTTTACGTCATCGCTTGACTCCTGGATGACATTTACGGCACGTAAATGATACGTTGATACATATCAACAACCGATTTCAAGTCTTGTTTGTAATGTAACCAGCAGTGATATTGGACAAACTAATACGCGTTTGGCTATAAGGTTATGTACTTATTAACTACACAATGTGCCAGTTACTCTAGCATTCGTCAACATTGCATAATCAATGGGCTTATTATGCCTTTAACGGAGTACAGTGACCGCGGGAGAGGAGCCGTACGTACTATACGTTGGATGCCAGACAGTCACACGCTACAGCGTGACGAGTGCTACTACACGGTGCACGCGCGCGGCCCTTACGGCTAAAATGCCAGAATATTATCGATGATTACCCAAATCTGCTGGTCGGTAAAATGGCCATATCTGTCTGCCTGTAGAAAGCTGCGCTGCGTCTGTCGGAGATAACACAGAAAAGAAAGACTGGCGGTTAAAACACGTGGAAACATCTCATGCACAGAATATTCAAATCGTCGGCGCCTGTCGTCGGTCGCCAACTACATTCAGCACGCCCAACTCGCGCGCGGCTCCCGTTCGAACCAAGATCCATTCTCCCAGTTCGTAAAAACGAAAAACACCAAGCATAATACACGGCAGACTTCCACGATGCGAGAAACTAATAATAAAATACACGTGTATAGGAAGTGCCACCACAGAGAAAACAAACTCATTGATGCAAGGCGTCTGCAGAGTTGCACGTGTAATAACGAACAAAGAACTTCCACTACGGCTATATCTGCCTAAAAAAATCGAGACACGATGTCGTGTAAAAATCCTAAACGTCGACGAGCGTGCGTTATACACGAGCAGGATTACATATCTCCGTCTTACTTCGCTCACAAGCCCGACCGCAAAAAAATCGCACGTTTCTGTGTCGCGCCATCGGTTAACCTTGTTATTATGCAGCTGGGACAAGCTCAAAGCTACGACACCCGCGGGGGCGTGTGACATTTCATCACCAACGCGCGCGCTCGTCTGTCAGATACGAACTAGCGAACCTTTGTGAGCGGACAACAGGGCATGGGAACGCGTGACCCGCTCCTATTAAGCTGCTTCAGGGATCTCTCTCTCTCTCTCTCTCGCTCTCTCTCTCGATCTTCTCTCGCTTCTCTCTCTTCTCTCTCTCTCTCTCTCTTCTTTCTCTCATCTTTCTCTCTCTTTTCTCTTCTCTTTCTCTCTCGCCCTCTCTCGCATCTCTCGCTCTCTCGCTCTCTCGCTCTTCTCGCCTTCTCTCTCTCTCCTCTCGTTCATCTCTCTCTCTCTCCTCTCTCTCTCTCCTCTCCGCTCTCTTCTTCGCGTCTCTTCGCTCTCTTCCGCTTTCTCTGCTCTTCTCGCTTCTCTCTCTCTCTCTCTCTCTCTCTCTCTCTCTCTCTCTCTCTCTCTCTCTCTCTCTACTATATATATATATATATATATATATATATAGATAGATAGATAGATAGATATAGTCGCCAGCCACTACAATTTCATGGTGACCCTACGGTGAAGCCGTAGGCCATACAAGCAGAGACTATAATAACATCTGTTGTTCTTGCTTTATTACATGCATGCACTGCGGGGAATTTACCCGTACGCGCCGGAATCCTAACAAACAACAGCTATATCCTCGACTAACACCTATGTCATTACGAAATATTATGCAGTACGATATGAATACATACCATGTACCACTCAACCGCAATGACACCGCGTAGAATGACCTAACCAATACAACGACCTTTCAGAGATACTCTAAGAGCCGTTGTGGCCTTTAGTGTCACTTCCTCTAGCCACGGTGGTACTAAGCTAACTCTGCCATCCTATAAATCTACATCTATCGCACAGAGATAGCAATACTGTCACTGCGGCTACTACATGGCACGGCTGCTAAACACAAGCGAACAACGAACGAACCGGCGCGGCAGCAGCAGCAGCAGCAGCACAGCATGATGGTGTGATGAGAGAGAAGTGGTTAGACTGGTACCTGTGCGTGTAGTGCAGGGTGTATAAGTGCATGGTGGGGGATAGCCGCCGGTGCGAGTTCATGAGTGTAGGCCGCCGTTAGCGGGTGATGAGCCCATCCCTCTGGCAGGACCGCCGGTGAAGCTGCAAAGAGTAGGTGAGTGAGAACAATAGACACGCACACGCACGCACGCGCACGCATGCACGCACGCATGTACACGCGCACACGCACGAACGCGCGCGCACGTACACGCACGCAAGCACGCACGCGCACGCACGCACGCACGCGCACGCACGTGCACACGCACGCACGACCAGTCACAGAAAATGCAGGCGCGCGTCGTCGCGTGCTTCCCGAGTAGGTCTTCAGAAAGTCGTGTTTTCCATATAGAGGGCTGCATGGGGGGACACGGTTACAGGACACGTTTACCGCCCGCCTCCCGAGTTAACATGTGCGGCAAGAGATAAGTCACGAGAGGCGAAATTAATTAGCTCGAAACAGCTGCTAAACCTCCACATCAACATAAATTCTAGTTCCGCAGAGGTTTTCGAGTTTTAAAAATTTCAGTGGCATCTTCCTTCGAGTATGCACGTAATCAATCTCGGTTAAAATACGTCAGAGATTAAGGGAGTAATAGCAAAAAATAGATTAATTGCAGAAGAATTGAGAAGCTATATGGCTGGGAAATATGTCACTCACTTCGCAAGCATATATCAGGAGTGAATAATAATAGATTATTATAATCAAGAGCGTATAAAGAAGGACGCTCTTATTTATACGCTGTTGTTATAATAGATCTATTATTATTCACTCCTGTATATATAGTACTTTACAGACACCACCTGCATTACGTATATAATGATGATCAGGTAATCTATATGCTTAAGCGAAAGACTGAATGTCTTGGCAAATATCCCGCGTGGTGGTTTGATGCTGATGCATTGTGCTTACTCCACGAAAATATTAAATAATTGTAATATTTTTTGAACAAAATCGCCGCAGCACTTTAGAAAAACAATAATGTTTGAAGACTACTGGGTAAGACCTATAAAGATAGCACCAAATACATTTACACACATATGTTACACAAGAGAGGTTCATTCAAACGATATGGGCCAATCACGCACCCGTGTGAAATATTACATTCATGCTTCTAACGATGGCAGTCCTTTCTATATATATATATGCCTCGAACATTCAACCCCCCTCCCAACCTCCCCGACCAACAAGCTAGTTTTGTGTGAAAGTTTGCAGGTAAAACGTGAGAGTACAATGTGCGTTGAATGTGTTAGAAAAATGTAGCCATTTCAAATAGAGCAATCGCTGAAGAAGCAAAATGATAAACACCGCTGTATTCACAGAAATGCAGACGAAAACACACGACAAGCACTGCAAACATTGGTATCAGCAATACGTCTTTTTTTTACTTTTTTGTGGTGACTGCCTAACACCCCAACCCTTGCCTGTTAAAAACTTCTGACATACATCTATACACTAACTGGTGCATACCGGCATCTCATCAAAACTTGTAACATACCGCGCGTTAAATTTACATTCATGCGTGCATTATTGCATACATGATGCATACATGATGCATACATGATGCATACATTATGCATTACATACATGCATTCTCTAAGTATTCGTCTGTCTAACGACCGAAAGAAAGCATTACATTTTAGTTGATGTGTATTTGTAGCCCTGTTTTTAGAAACCTTCCTCTTTCCATCTTGCATACAAATTCCGTTGATCGGGAGAATAATTTTCAAAATCACATTTATAAGTTATTGCAATACATACTTTGTAATAGTCAGTATTATTATATTATAATTATTACACTGATATACAGTACATGCCTATATTTAGCCGTGTATAGTTGTATGCGCATGTATAGCGATGCGCGTGCGTGCGTGCGCGTGCGTGTCTGCACGTGCGCATTTATATATATTATTATGTATGTATGTATTTATGTATCTTCCTATATGAATACATTTCTACGTGTAAATGTTAATGTGTGTGTGTGTGTGTGTGTGTGTGTGTGTGTGTGTGTGTGTGTGTGTGTGTGTGTGTCTGTAACTGCACGTGTTTTACTTATAGCTGCTATCTGGGTTTAGGCATGGGGTGGCCAAGGTAGAGGTGGTACTTACGTGCAGCGAAAGGATTGTAGACGAGCGTAGGATGTGTTGCTGCTGGCTGCGGACTCTGTTGTTTCGGCTTGCTAACCTTCGTGTTACTCTTAGCAAACTCTAGCCTCAATGTCTGCGGCAAGTCCGGGTCAAATCTGACGCCCTGCTGCATGCAGAGTATATGAACTTGTTATAGTAAGAAACGGGCTCACGTTAGCATGGCTTCATATCAAAGTCTACGTAGAGGATATTAGCAGAGCTGTTACTACGTGTATATAACACGTATAGGCACCATACATGCATGCTTGCACACAGCTGGAGTTCTTCTAATATCACACGCATATATATATATATCTCTCTCTCTCCCTCTCTCTCTCTCACTAACATCACGAGTCCACTGAAACCGAGCGCGCACATCTCATGGGACCATTAACACCGCGCAGCAGGTCATAATCCTCCATTTTATTAAATAAAAGCAATATTTTAACGCCGCACTTCGCAGCCGTAAAAGCACCCACACCTTTCTCTCTTTTCGGCCAATTAAAGACTCTTGTTTTTCTGCGGCATTCTCTCCTGTGTAAACGAGAACGGAGAGCACTTTGCATCGCGCTACACTTCAGCCCAGCTCGCGCAAAAAAACCGTCTTCATTAGATCGTAGAAGCGAGAAATGGATGCGCGCCAATGCACGATCGCCGCGGAGCCGCTGCATATTTAATAGCCACCGCCACTACGACGGTCTCGGTGCGAAGCATAGAAATAATATACTATAGTTGGAGTAGTGTCTCTATGTATTTCTATGGAGCGAAGACGCGAGCGAGCGAACGCGTATAGCCACTGTTTCAGCGACTTGTTTTTTTTTTACAAAGGCTCGTCTTGCGCATGCGCCGGTCGCCACCTTGCGTGTGTCGGCTACGGTTAGCGGCGTGTCGTCGGGGGAGAAGCGGCCGATGTGCGCGCGCGCACACACACACACACGTACGGACGTCTTCCATGCCACGCTCGCACTCACATACATAGGCAACCACGCACGCACGCGCGCGCGCACAAAACGACGCACGTACACACATACGCACGCACGCGCGCGCACACGCACGCACGCACACGACGCACGTACGCACGCACGCACGCACGTACGCACGCACGCACGCACGTACGCACGCACGCACGCACGCACGCGGAAGGACTCATGTGTCACGTTTAACATATAATTATGTACGTACCGTGGCCGGCTGCGCGACAGCTAACAGAAGCGGCAGCAGCAGCAGCACTAGTAGCAGCAGCAGTACCACCAGCAGCAGCAGCACCACCACCACCAGCAGCAGCAGCAGCACCACCACCCGCAGTAGTAGCAGCACCACCACCAGCAGCAGCAGTAGTAGCAGCAGCAGCAGCAGTAGTCGTAGCAGTACCACCACCAGCAGCAGTAGTAGTAGTAGTAGCAGCAGCATCATCACCACCACCACCATCAGCAGTAGCAGCAGCAGCAGCAGCAGTTATGGTGAATGACCTACTTGCAGTATAATGGCTATACTATGAGAAGAGGCATATATAGAAAGGGCATTATCTTTAACGCACATCAAATCTCCCGCGTTTTTCTCATCAGCGTTCAACACTGCCGCAATCGCATCACAAACCTCGTCTCAACGATGTGTCGCTTATAGTCTCCTGTTTCTTATTCGAATGTGTTGCCAGACGGCTGAGAATAAATCCACTCGCATCACAATTACCTCACTCTCATAGTCAGGTACGTTTACTATTAAAGGTAACTCGACACATTTCTCTACGATATATATAACAACCTGCAGCGATAAATCGAATGAACATTGCAAATGACTAAATTTCTTCGAATGTATCCATACAATGACAAATTTAGAATGTACTAAAACCGTGTGCATTGACGAACGCCGTAGGCGTGTATACAGCCACATGTTGAAAACACCCACCGCCCATTTTCATTAGTGACAAAATGCCGAGTGATTATTTATAACATGTCTCCTCCCGCCTATCTTCTGTAAATGACAAACCAGGTGTGCTAATCGTTTCATCTCTCGCAGATGTTTCGCAAGAAACGTGCTTTTTTGAAAAATGCCGGGAGAAAAACCCCACCGAAACATAATCGCTGCAATCTGTGCATTGTGTTCTGCCAGGAGCTAGATCGATTTCCCTCTAGCTTGTACAAATTCGTGCGAATAATGCAGTGAAACGGTGCTGGCCGCGTGTATGGAATCTCCCACCAAAAGAAAATATTTAATTAATATAATTTCATTAATCAAGAAGGAGGATTATATCGGGAAAGGAGATTGTGCCGAGACTCGGATAACGTAGGTGGATGCGATAATACAGTAGATATCTCTACACTACGTTCCAGAGAAACATTACAATTATATTTTAGGCATGCCCTCCCAGGCTCCCACACATACAACATATCATGACTTGAGCATATATAGAGACAGACAGACAAACAGACTGTCAGGTATATATAGATAGAAAGATGAATGGACAGACGGACAGACCGACAGACCGACAGAGCGACAGACACACAGATAAAGAGACATTAATGACGCAATTGGAGAGTGCCAACGAAAAACGAGACACAATGAGAACGAGAGATAGAGAGAGAGAGAGAGAGAGAGAGAGAGAGAGAGAGAGAGAGAGAGAGAGAGAGAGAGAGAG